CCATAGAATTGAAATTAAAGAGACAGCCTTTATAAAGTCTTGTTTAATTCGGTGGCGCGTGCTGATCAAATCCTCCTCCAGGGTTTTCAGTGTATTCCTATTTCCCAGTTTCATGTTAATTGGGAAGTGTACAACATGTCTAACAGCACAAAAAAACCCAGGCTACCGGTGTACTGTGTGTTGATGTCAAATGGTTGGCTGTAATTGCCCTAAACTCCCACAATGTGAAGGATGTGTTGCATTTATACTGTGGCTTACTTTTCTAAGTTCTTCTTTTTCCTGTTCTGAACCTTTTTACCTTTTCTTCTCTTACACACCAGCAACTGTACAACAGTCTGGCAAAAGCCCTAAATGCTTTTTTAAAAGACAAATAATAAAAAGTACAAGCAATTTTCCCCGGGATTCAAATGAAATAGCATGTGGAAGTGTCACTTTGCAAACATAAATTGTTCAGGCTTTAAAAATAAAACCAAACCCAGAAATTGGCAGGTCCTTTTCTGTTACAGGTATCATCCATTTTATTCTTACCACAAAGGGGAAAAAAGCAGGTTCTGACAATTTAAATTGTAAATTTGAATCTGGCTAAATGAATTGGGATTCTTTAGGATGTGGAGAGCTCATTCCTATGGGTTGCTTTTAACATACACAACTAGTTCTGTTGAGTCTAATAAATGAGTCATGTTACTCGTGCTCAACTGTTTGCAGGATGAGGGCTTTACATTGTAGCTACAACAGCAAATTAAACATTAATCTAATAAGGAGTTAGCTAGAAAAGACAAAGCACCAAAACAGATATTTAGGTGCTGGTGTTGGGTGGAACAACTCAAGTGTTTAAGTTCCTGACCTTAGTTACAGTTTGGAGCCCCACAAGGCCCCGACATTGGCCTCAGTGTGCTCTGAAACCGTGATGCTATTTAAAGAGTGGTCTGACTGTTTCCTCCCCTCCAGAAGGGATGCTCAGCCTCACAGGATCCTTTTTCTCATAACATGTTTTTCAATAAAATTTTCCCAATTTTGTAATCAGTTGGGAAGAAAGAACATTTCACAATGTTCGTAAGGCTTGGGGATGTTTTGACCAGACATCAGATTTCCTATTGATAGCATGGAATGCTTTGGAATGAAATGTTTTGGGTTTTCCATCTGTAGGCTGTCTGAGATGTCAGCAGCCAATATGACCTACTCTTTCCCTTTTAGGTCTATAAATAAAAGGCAGCTTGTTTAACTGATCTTGCAGTGGAGAGCAGAGGTGTATATTAATGAGCTTGCTCTAATGGCACACTGGACCTATTTAGCACTACAACTGTGAAGGCTTCTCTTTTTCAGTCATAACTCATTTCCTAAGAAAATGTCAGTTATTGCTTCACCCCATGGTCTGAGCTGGTTAGTTTATAGTTTATTTCTTCTGATCTGTACCACTGACAGATATTCTAGACATGACCGTGATTAAATATGCTTATAAAAGTGGTAAACATTTGATAATATAAACCCTCTTGGGAACACACTGTTATTTCTGCATGGCAGCATTCTCAGGTGCATTCAAAGTATAATCTGGAAGCAAAGAAAAAACATTTTAAGCAATTACAGTTATTAGATTAAATTGTTTTGTTAGGAAGATTGTGATGTGTTTAGATCACTGTGAGATAGTTCAGCGTTTTCATAACTATGTCTTTTAAATGCATGAGACTGCAGCAGTCATATTTTACTGTAAAATAAAGATAACATATATTTCCATGTGGTAGGGAACTAATTTAGTCCCATAAATTTCTACAAGGTATTTTTCCCTAGTAGAAGCCCTATTCTGAAAGCAGCAGTAGTTATAAAATCCAGTAATGCATCGTGCTCTTCCTGTAATCATGTGGCATTGTTTTGTGTCTGTGCTCGGATGTGTGCAGCATAGCAGTGTCTGAAACACATGAATGATTCACAGTAAAGACAAATGTAGTAATTGCAATATAATTATTTTTATTGATGAACTTATTTAAAAGCTCTGTTGACATTTACAGACTTTTGAGGATCATGCAGTGTTTGTTACAGTTATCCCAGGCATCAAATGTCCACAAAATGTTTAAGATTGTAGGATTAAGCAGTGACAGATTGGGGCCAGATGTCTGGGAGATACCATAAGTGGCCTTCTCAGTTGATAAAATAGCTCTTACCATCCTAAAGCCCTTTCAGAACTGAACATTTGTTCTTTGTAGTTGAAGCTGAGGCACTTGTGGGATGGCTGAATGTTCCTGGGGGTTATTTGAAAAAAGGAATAAGCACCAATTTCTCCAGGAGTAGTTTTATTTAGTGTATATATAAATATACACTACACTCCAAGTAGCAACAATAGGTGGAAGGGTTAAAAGAGTTGGTGAAAAGCAGTGAAACCCAAGAATTACCTTACGAAGTCATCCTAACAACAGCAGCCCAGTTGAAGTTATCTTGTTCTGTGCAAGTGTACAGTTGAGACACCTCCACTTCAGGGAAGCTGTGCCCTTCAGGGAAAAACTGCAAGGGATACAGTCAGCAGATCCAGCAGGAAATAAAGGAGGTGAAATAGTATTTCCTGGAGTCCTTTGAAATTGAGACCTTCCTGCAACTCTGAGTGGATTCTCTCAGCCCCACCCTTCTCAGCTCTTTGCACCAGCTGCTTTTCTCCCCCTTTTCAGGCCTTTCATCTTCACCTTCCCCTCTTCTCATCACTTCCCAGCAAGGTTCTTGCCCCCACTCCTTTTCCATTGATTTTCTTCCTGTTTCTCCAACCTAACCTTTGCCAACCCTGACTCCTTGAAAATCTGAGTGCTATGAATTTGCTAAACTCTGCTTTATTTGTCATAGACTTCAGCATATTTGAGCATTTCAGATTGCTCCGTTCTGAATCCTTGTCAGATTTTTAGTGATGATTAAGAAGAAAGCTTGTTTCTTTTGAAGCCTTGGGGCTTGGTCACTTCCAAACTCCCCCACCTCGGTGCACCAGCTCAAGTGTTCAGGGAGGGAGTTGTGGCCAAACAAAACTTTTGAAGACGTAGACTGCACGTCTCCAGGTGACTCTGTGGATCTATCTCGATAGCTGTGATGGGGAAAGACATAATATATACATATCAGATAGTTGTCTGGACACACAGACCCAATATGCCATTCAGACTGATTAAATATCTGGCCAGGGCAGTAAAACATGTAGGGCAGTAAAAGCCATAGTGATCCTGTCATGTGTGAGTGGCTGGGAAAGGCAGAGATTTTCCAGGAACCCCTCTGTGGGCGTGCCTGTGTGTTGGAGCGCATTGGTGTGTTCAGTTTGTAGTGTGCAGAGCTGATCTGCATCCCATGGCAGGACACAGCCTGAAAAATGAAGTGCTGGCTAGGGAATCTGGATCACTTTGGTCACTGTGTTGAGGTACTTAAAAAACACACTGGTCTGAGCAGGCTGTGGTGGACCTTTTTCCACCAGTAGTTTAAATTGCCTTTGGCAGGCACAGGGAGATGAGGCACCTCCACGTTACAGTGTCTTCGAGGCTCCATCTGCATCCAGCCCTCTGCCTGCAGTGCTGGATACACAACAGTCAGGAGGCTGCATGCACTGATGTGTGTAAGAGGTGTGTGTGTGACAAATAGGACTGGCAAAGTGGTGATTTCTGTGGCGCCATCTGAGGAACCATGGGTTCCTGGAAAACTGCTGAACAAAATCTTGACTCAGCAGAGGGAAGTGACAAAGCACTTGCTAATTTTGTGAGAGTCTGGATTTTACTCTTCTTGAGCAAGAATCGTATAAAAAACTATGGCTTCCAGAAATAGTGGTTAGAACGGGCTGCCCAGAGAGGTTGTGGCTGCCCCATCCCTAGAAGCATTCAAGGCCAGGTTGGACATGAATCGGAGCAACCTGGTCTAGTGGAAAGTGTCCCTGCCCATGGCAGGGGTGGAACTGGGTGATCTTTAAGGTCCTTTCCAACCCAAACTGCTCTATGAAGATACACCTACCTTCTTTCAGAATGTTAGCGTTGATATGAAGGTTTTTATCTGCATAAGACACTAGAAGATCTGCAGTGCCTTGAAACTGCATTAGAGTGGGCAAAGTGATGCATCCCATCACACGAGTCTTGTGCATGTATTTGTTCCCTGTGTGTAAGTATCTGAGTGCATTTTATGGGTTTGCAGGTGTGTGAATGTGCACACACAAGTATTTGTGCTCACCTGAGGGAGTTCCCAAAGCCCATCCTAGGGACAGTGCCTCCACTGCAATTGCCTGTTGTCTGTAATGCTGAAACTTTGCAGTGAGCAAGGCAAAACACCCTTCCCTTGGCCTGCTAGTAGCTGGAAATTTTACTTATTTATTTATTCAGATTTAATTTGAAACAGTGACTTTTGTTATGAGCGCTATGCAGTGTTTCATTACTGAGCTCCCTAATGAAACGGGTGCTTAAGAAGTCAGAATTGCTCAGGTTACTGGTTGTATAAATGCAGAGAACAGCTCTGAATGATAGAGCTAGTAAAGAAAAGGGTGCAGAATAACAGCAGAGTTCCTTTGGACTGATCTTCAAATAGATCAGGCCTTCCTGTAATCGTCTGTGCTCATCAACTCCAGTGTATTGTATTTCAGACACCGGAAACCAGGTTCTAACCCACCACAAATAGCTTCTCTTGCTCTCTGTCTGTAGCAGCTAATTGTTATTGCCCACAGTGGCTCCTGTGCCAATTAACATCTCGAGGACTCATCAGAATACTTGTCCTTTTCTTTAAATTTTCTGTTCTGACACTGTGTCTTTAAGCGTTCGGTACTTCAGACAGAACATGTGAGATATTTATAACCCTTGTATTATTACCGAGCTACACACCATGTCTTCGGTGACAGATTAAATGAGCAGCACAATATGTTGTGTTTCATCCATAAATTTCAACAGATGTTTGAATGTTGGTTGATTTATTGCACGCCCAACTTGGATCTTACACTGTTCTTATTGTGGCTGCACATGGTTTATTTAATAGTACTTTACAGCAATTTTTTTTATGATGTTTTTTAGTTTGAAGGGTGCAACAAGGCATTTTCTAGGCTTGAGAACCTCAAGATTCACCTCCGGAGTCATACTGGGGAGAAGCCATACCTGTGTCAGCATCCTGGCTGCCAGAAAGCTTTCAGCAACTCCAGCGACCGGGCAAAGCATCAGCGAACACACCTGGATACCGTAAGCATGATTTCATACTGGGACTTGCACAGAGCTTTCCAGTGGTCCTTGTGCACAGTTGGTTCTGCAACTGGGAGGGGGACTGTGCCTTTTCATGAGGAGAGTCTTAGAAAATTCAGCTATAAGCAATAGTATTTTGTTTTGAACTGCATGTGCTTTGAGAAATGAAAAAGCCTTGATCACAGGCAAATTCGTGTGTGTTGCTCATGCTGAGGAGTAAGTTACGCAGGACTAAGTTACTCAGCAAGCTCTCCCATTGTTCCTGTTCCAGTAAGAGGGGCAGCAGCACAATAAGGTATAACGTGAGTGAAAGCTGAGTCACTGCTTCTGCACCAAATGTGTGTCATTGTCTCGCTTCCTGTCCCGTGTTGCTTCAGTGAATGTTCTGAATGAATGCAAAAGCAAGTCAGACCTCTCAGTGGAAGGTACATGCATGCACCTCAGTTTTGGACAGTAATTTTGTAAAAGTGAAAATACATCTGTCTTATAACTATATGAAATTTGTTAAGTACCCACCATCAGAATTAACTGTGAGAAAAAAATTCTTTTATTCTGTACAGTGTCTTGGGCTTCAACTAAAATGAAATCATCCTATTATAGGGAAAGAAAGTAATGAGGCAGCTTTGCAGATGAGTCAAATCCTCAGCATAAAGCTTGTAAAGAAAAACAGAGTTGTTCCTTTGTCTTTTTCAAAGAAGTGAATATATGGTTTAACGTTTGGCCAAGTGTTTATGGGGCAGAACTTTTGAGTTTAATTGATATTTACTTTTTAAGCAGTTACACATTTCAGACAGTGCAGCATTAAGGAATGTCTAATGTACATTATGCCTTGCAAAAACAAACAAGTAAGAGAAGCGAGTCAGTCACATTTTCCAAACCAAAGCACACTTACAATAACAATGTTTTATTTATTTGAAAGTCAACCTGAGAGATTTGAATTTGTAATTAGTTCTAAAATGCATCTCTTTTGAAAGTGGATATAGTAAACTGAGTGCAGTTTTTAAATATAGCTGCTTGAACCTAATAGATATCATTTTAATAGCCAAAGTCACAAATGGAATACCATTTATTAGCTTTGAGAGAGAACTTAAGTGGTTACTAAAGTGAGCAAAAATTCTTTGTATGTGTTATCTGTGTAATATTGAAGACAAATGTCTTAACTTTCTATTTTCTTTTCTTCTCCCTTTATCTCTGTCCTTATTATCTGAAATGCTCATAAATCAGGAAAAAGGTACAGTAATCATTTTCTACTAACTTTCTTAAATATCTAAAAATATCTTCCATGCTATTCCATTGCAGGTTCTTTAAAACTGTTTCTGTAGTCCTGCACACAGTAACTAACTTCCACTTACCTGCTTTAATTAAGCCCTGTGGTTTAGCTCAGTGTATTTTGTGCTTACGTGAATGTGAAAAATAGCAGAGCTACAGGATGGTGCTGCTTCAAGGGCCGCACAAAACAACTGCCTGGAATGTCAGAGCAAACAGCCATGAACCTTTGGAAGGGCAGTCAGATTTTCACCTAGTTTTCCTATCACTGAGTTGAATGATTTTATCACTAATTTGAATGACATCAGTGATTTGAAAAATACTCTGCTGGGTTTTCTGCTAAGGGATTTGTTAAAGTTTTCCATAGTTTTTCCTCAGGTGTCAGTTCTCTGTGTTCCAGACACTCTCAATAAATCTCCTTTGCCCTGTAACTTTCTGGGTAGGTGCTGTGTTAGCCTGTAAGGTCATGAGTTGGTGAATGATTCTATTATTCCTTCAGAAATTTCCTGCTGGCTGGACAGAGCAGCAATACTTATTCTCTGGAGGTACTTATAAAGAAAGGGGGTTTATATAGGCTGCTTATTCCTTATTGAGTGCATTTGGAATTGGTTTTAAAGCTTCCCAGTGTAGGTCACTCCATCATTTATCTTCTCCAAAAGGAGGATCTGTAAATCATTTTACTTACTGGTGTACCCTAGTTTGATTGAATCTCTACTAAATCATCTGGAGTAGATCCTTCTCCTGGGCAGGAGAAGAACAAAGGGGACCTGTCTGTCCTTGTTGGTAGAAAGGGCATGTCAGCACTCCTCCAGGAGCAGAGCGACTGGTTTAAAGGACCTCACAGCCACTTCTCCCAAATCCAGTTGTTTTTTTTCTCTTCTGTGCATCCTCTTTCTGAAACCAGGGGAATTAAAGAATGTGACACTGAGGTCATGGCAAACCAGTTTTCTGCCTTTGAGAAGACACCAGCAGGATTTACTAGTCCTAGTGAGAAGGCTGAGGTAGTGTTGATAGGTGAGGCAAGAAAACAGAGGAAAAAAGAATGTTCCATTCGACTTTAAAGCTCCATGAGCTGTGCCATGCAGCACTGGCACCTAAGTCAGTGGGTACTTAATAAAAAGTGCTGAAGTACCTTTGCTCACCTTGACAATTGCACCTTCATTTGGAGTTTGTAACCCAGAGATAGTGTTCCCTTTGTTGGGAGTAGGCAGAGCTAAGAGAAGAATTTTTTGAGGATTTCAGTCACTGGGACTCCAGAATCAGCAGCTAAATTAGAGCATCCTCATTTATTTATTTTATTTTATTTTCCTACGAGAAGAGAGGACTGGAACTGCCTGTTCAGACTCAGGTGGTTTTCCCAGGAGATAGTGCTGATACTGTGCCACATAAAAGTGACAAGCTCTGCCACATACCAAAACAAGATGGAAAGGTCCTCCCAACAAAATCAGCAAGAGTGGATTTTTCTTTCTGTATTGATTTGCTCACATGTTAATGTTTGATGCAGGTTGTTTGGTTAGGAGTTACAAAAGGAAAGACATTTCTGTTGTTATTCAAAAGAGAAACAAAGTATGAATGAAACCAAACATGTGCTGTGCCCCAAGTTTTGTTCTGCTGCATATCATATAACCACAGAATCACTGAGATTGGAAAAGGCCTCTAAGATCTTTGAGTCAAGTGGTTACCCCAGCACCACTGTGTCCACCACTAAACCATGTCCCCTAGTGCCACATCCACGCAGCTTTTGAACACTCCAGGGATGGTGATGCCACCATTTCCCTGAGCAGCCTGTTCCAGTGCCTGACCACCCTTTTGATGAAGAAATTGTTCCTTATCTCCAATCTAAACCTCCTCTGGTGCAACTTGAGAAAGTTTCCTGTTGGCTTGTAACAAAGGAGCAGAGCCCGATCCCCACCTGGCTCCACCCTCCTGTCAGGGAGTTGTAAGGAGTGAGACAGTCCCCCAGAGCCTCCTTTTCTCCAGGCTGAGCCCCCCCAGCTCCCTCAGCCGCTCCTCATCCCACTTGTGCTCCAGACCCTTCCCCAGCTCCACTGCCCTTCTCTGGACTGGCCCTAGCACCTCAATGTCATTCTTGCAGTGAGGGCTGTGACGACCCACCCTTAAGGGCTTCTTTACCTTAAGGAGGCATATAAGGGTGGGTTCTCACAGGGGCCCAGAACTGAGCTTGGGATTCACGGTGTCTCACCAGTGCCCAGCAGTTGTAAAAACTGTGTAAATCAGAACTCAAACCCTGAGCTTCCATCTCTATAATTATACTGGGTGATCTCATAATTTTGTGTACTATAAAGGCTAGGGGAAAAAAAATAATGCTCTCAAAACCTATCCAGTTACACCTCACTAGCATTTACCTCAGCCCAGTGATGTACATCCAACACTCCAGGTGTGTCAGGTGCTCTCGGTGCTTGCAGGGGGTGCAGCGTCAGGGCTGGCAAACACTCTGTGTCCCCGAACCGGCCGTCCTTGAGCACCCTGAGCTGGCTGTGGGCATGCAAAGGGACATGACCTCTCTCCTCTTCCCTCCCATGCACAGAAACCCTACGCCTGCCAGATCCCCGGCTGCTCCAAGCGCTACACCGACCCCAGCTCCCTGCGCAAGCACGTGAAGGCTCACTCGGCCAAAGAGCAACAGGTGCGTAAGAAGGTAAGACCTGCCAGGCAACAAGGGACACATCTCCAGACCTCCTCCATAGAGTTATTTTTAATTTACCTTAAACTTACATATTTTCAGATCAGAGTTTTCCTACGGTATCGCTAGAAGAAAACTTTAGCGGAGTTAATTTTCCTGTTGGTTTTTAATCACTGTTGTTAACCAGACCACCTTACATTTTTGCATTTTCAGTTTACCCCATGCTTTCTCTCCAAAAATTTCTTTCCTGTTCGTGTTTCATACACAAATTCTGCTGTCATTCACATAAAATGTCCACGCATTGAGTCTCTGCAATCAGCACTAGCTGGTTGTATTTACTAAAATACATGTTGGCTGATCATCCTAAAGCAGAAATGAAACTAAGCCAGGATACAGTGGAAATGTAGAAAAGAAACACTTGTAATAGATGAGGATGAAAACCCCACACTTTTCCCACCACATCTATATTTTAAATGCATTTATAAATCACTCCAAACCCAAACTGCTAGTTATGTTTTCAGTACTGTTGGATTCAAATAAGTGTTTTTGTGGGCTAAATCCCGAACTCATTATTAAATGGGGATGCTTGTGGGCACCAGCCAAGGTTCAGAGACTGGTTTATTACACATTTGTATACACAGTTTGTAAAATGATGTCTGGGACCCCACGGAGCTGGTCCATGGCAGCGCAGACCGCGGGTACACTCCAGGCCCAGGAGTGGAAGGGAACGCTGGCCTTGGAGAGCAACTACAATTAGTTCAATAAGCAGCACTGATGTCTTCCCCCAGCTGCCTCAGCACTGCCAAGAGCATCACAGCAAGGCATGGTTAAAGGAGGGAGGGCAGAGCAGAAAGATAACCTGGCAGGATAGAGCCAGGGAGCAGCTAGTTTAGAAAAATGCCAGAGGGAAGAAGTGGAAGTACTGGAGAGCAAAAAGAGGAATGTGGAGAGAAGAGACAATAGGAGAACACAGGTGACGTGAGCTTAAGAATCTGGAGTGAGCCATGGAGGAGGGAGAAGGATCTGAAAAAGCCCTAATTCACCTGCTTGAATACAACTGTGGTGAGATCATACAGATCTGTCCTTGTTTCCACCGTGCCCCTACGTTATGCCCCTTCCTTCTGCTGCTCCTCTTACAGTTTCCACCAGTTGGAACTTAGGGTCCCCTTTCCCAGGACAGCTGTTTGTGCCCTAATTCTCCCTGTAACCCTCCTCTTTGTCAGATGTGTGCAGCTGAGTAACAGTTCCTGGGGATCAGTGTCCGGAGCTGTGCACACTCTCTCAGATACTAAAGAAACACTCCTTGCATGCTGAGCTTTGTGCCTGGGAGTAACACTGTTCATCCCAGCACCATCCAGGTGGAACCAAGTCTTGTCTCTGCTCCAGTCAGAACTTTTATTTAGCCTGGCAGGACTGGAAAAACTGCTTAGTTTTCCATCCCAATTTTGTATTATCAGAAGGTTCCACAGGGTGTGCTGTGCACATACATCCCACACCACAGGTCACAAAATTCCCAACACTTCCCTAGATTAACCTTTAGGTCATAATGAGAGTAAGAGTCAGAATGCCATGGCAGTAATTGATTAATTCTATGTAATTAAGTCCACGTAATGAGAGTAAAAGTCAGAAAGCCATAGCAGTAATTGGCCACAGAAGGAAGTTGACTCTGGCACCAGAGTCTTTTGCAATAGCAAGATCTTTGTGACAGGAAGATTTTGATACATGAAATTCTCATCAGATTGTGGAAAGCAACTGTGCTCCCTATTTCAAAGAAGAGAACTTCTCATTTTTCCTTCCTGTGGTTGCTGGCATACTTCCAGGGGGACAAGGAGGAATATTTCCTGATAGCAAACCTGGATATCATTTGTTCGGCTCTGTGTACTGGGCTGAATGCATTAATGTGTTACCACCCTTTACACCTGGTCAAAGGGACAGTCCCCACTGTCACACCCTGCCACCTGCTGAGGCCTTGTTCCAGTTCTGTGGAGGAAGGTGGAAAAAAATAAACCTAAATCCAGACTTTGCATTGAGGGGCACAAAGTACTTCCTGCATCAGCAGCAGGAGCTCTTAAGCACAGAATCAATACAGGACAAATTTGGTGCACATCAACTGCAGACTTAGGCTGGTTGGATGTACCAAGACGTCAGAATATCTAGGGATTCTTATCACTTAATCTCCTGTCTTGAGGAATTTTCCTGTGTGCATACACATACCCTCCTATAGACTTATCAAATCTATCTTAAAATTACATTACTCCCTTGCCTCCCACACCTTATTTAGTAGACCAGTCTAAGTCTGCACTCCGCCAGTGGCTTGAAATCATCTTCAGATTTCCTGTCTCATTTATCCATGATAACTTTATGAATACTTGATCCCATGTCTTTTGTCCTCAAAATTAAAAAGCACCTGAAAAAGCAGCAGATTTAAACTGCCTTTTGGTCAGGCTCTCTTAAAAGGGATCAAAGCAAATCTGGCTCATAAAGAAATAAGAACACCCAAAATATTTCACTTAAATGTATTATGGGAAAAAACCCCACCACCTTCCACAACTAAGCAAATGTCAGTGTTACTGAAATGGTGACAGTCTGCTTTGGATTTTGGATTTAGGAAAAATGGTGGAAAGACTGTTTATGTTCACTTGCTCGTTTTTGGTTGTACCTCAGCAAAGGCAGTTGTCTGTTGGTATCACCTTCCCAGGAGTTCTGAGTGGACATCACTTAGCCAAGAAAGAAAACTTAACAGGCTGTTCTGCCAGCATGTCTTGGTTGAGATATGCTACCAAAATGTGCCATCTCTGATATAAAACAAAATGCCTGAGCTTAGAGTTGTATCAAAGGAATCCTGAGTATTTGGTTCATAGCTGAGGGGATTACTGCAGTGGTGATATTTGGTTGTTCTGAAAGGCTTTACAAGAACAAAACAGGAGAAAGTTAGCTGTTAATTTAGTAGTAGTTTAATTGGCTGCAGATGCACTTTGTGATCCAAATGTCAGATGTTTATCTCGAACCCACAAATGGCTGTAGAGCAGAATTGTAAATAGGTTTGCCTGGGCCCTTTATTTAGAATAACCAAGCCCAGGGGAGATCGGTATGTGAGGCTGTACCCGTAAGGACAATAACTATTTATTAATGGCTGTAGAACATGATGGCTGTTTGTGTAATGCGAGCACTGTGTTATGACAAAAGCTTGGCAGCATCAGCATGTTTGAAAGAGAATTAGAAATGCTTTTCTTTCTTAATTCTCCTCTCCTGCTGTTTTTAATATGATCGACATTGTGGTTTTCAAGAGTTTGCTTCAGACACTTTTGCCAGAGCTTTAATTTACAGGGAGCGCAGCTGAGACATCGGTGGTACCTCTCACACATCACTGACAGCCCCTTATTCCACCAGTTCTAATCTGATAAGAACAGACGCTTTTCCTTCCCTATCAAATGTCTTCCCAAGTGTCACAGTTAGAAGGTGATGCAGTCCTTTTGCCACAGAACCCAGGAAACTACAGAAAGCCTGAAAATGTGCAGTTCAATTACTCGGGAAGGTTTGAAGAAACACAGGGTACATTATTTTATGAAGCAAAGTGTTGTTGATTTAAGATTAGCACACTTAGCTTCTGCACTTCAGAAAACCAAAGTTATCTCTAATTAAAAATACCAAGTACTAGATACATCCTTAATTACACTGAGTTTCTAAGAATGACATTAATCCCGTCTATATATAATCTTTAAGGAGACATATGGATTTAATTAGAAATAATTTGATTTTACTTTGAAATAAAATGTTTCTTTTATCCTCCTCTCATAGCTAAAGTCCTGTACTGATATCGAACAAGACGTACTGAGTGAATGCTTAGCTATGCAACAACTCCACACATCTTCACAGCACATTCTGGATGGGAAGTGTGGTAGAACTGTAGGTCCTCATGATTTAATTACAGGTAAGAATACTCGTAATAAGCGTGGTGCTTAATATGTCATATAACAGAGGACTTAAAGAAAAGCTTATGGGTCTGATTTGTCACTGTGGAAGATGAAAAAAACCCCAGACCAACAAATAAGATGAAATAATGTTGTGAGTTGTTTACTAAGGCCTGACTTTTTTTTTTCAGCATAAGCAGCCAAGTAGCTCCTATTAATGTCACGTGAAGGGGGCAGCAGCCCTGCTGAAAGGGTGTCTCCATCCATTTGTGCTCTTCTGAAAGTTGGCCTTGGCCTTGGCAGAGTGCAGGTGCACGAGCTGTGCTAATGCCAAGCGAGTGCTCCACACAGCAGGAGGGTTTTCTTCGGGAGCTGCAGGAAGGTTGATGAGGCTGTGTGTTACCATGCACTGTGTGATTGTAACAGATGATATGGTGATGTGTGAATGGAGAGAAAACTTGAATTGGAAATGTCAAACCTTGTTTTAATTATCTTTCCTAGTTTTCAATCTTTCTTTCAGTCCTCCTCTCTTTGTTGTGGTTTGAACAAGAGCCGGCCCCTTTCAGGGACTTCAGACTGCTCTATACTTTTTATAGGAAGAGAAAAGGATGCTTCCATTCCCTTCTGTGGAAAACAAGGTCTAGATTCACAATATTTGAACCCCAGCAGAGGATCAGGGATGTGCCATCTCAGGTTCTGTGTTTAACCAGCACTGTAATTGTAACCTGCCTTACTTAGGCAAGAATCTCCTGCCTTTTTTTTTGTTTCTTACTCCAAATCTTAAAAATAAAAAATGCATCCTGATTGACATCTCCTCAGGTTGCACTAAAATGTTGGAATATAACTGCTGAACAGAATGGAGTAGAAAGGGAAATACCCCCTGATTCTGACATGGTTCCCCTGGGAGTCTGCACTCACAGTGGCTCCTCAAAAAGTGGGAGAAAGCTGCAGGGACGTAGGGGGATTATTTCCATTCTCTGCCTGTGTCACCTGCACTGTGAAGGTTTGTGAGGGCAGCACTGACCTCTGCTCTCCCCTTGAGAGTCCGGTGTAGCTGAATCATGACTTGGCCTCTGGATTCCAGGCAGGGCAGGAGAGAACAGTGACATTTCCCTGAGAACAGCCTGCACTTTAGGATCCTCAGAAATAACCTCAGTTTCCAAGTGACAACAATAAAACAGGAAAAAAGTTATTAGCTTACAGATAAACAGACCAGTGTCATTTCTAAGAACCTCTTGTGAAATTAAGGATTTTATCTATCCGTAACTCTGGCTTTCTCTGATATGATTTCTGTGCTGATTATATCAATCCATCACCAGGATGTTTTAAAAAACCTGTAAATCTTCCCTGATACTTCACTGGGTCACTGCATATAAGACCCCATCACGTGCACACTATGAAGAAGTGCCAGGGAAAATAAATCAAGATTTGAAAGGCTGTTTTATGGTGGAACAGAAGTTGCTTCATAGTATGTGTAGCACAGTTCCACAGGCAAAACTGTTCATCTGTCATTATTTAGGGCACATAAGCCAAAGTGCTGATCCTTACAGAATTAAAGCATAAGGACATTCCTGCTGCCACCTATAGTCTGCAGTGATTGCACATGTGCTCTTTCAAATAAGCAGAGAGACTTTGGAGAAATCAGCTGTAATACTGTATATAGGGTCGATATGGATAAATACAGTATATGATGTCCCCGTGATTCCACCATGAAAACGTTCGTGGTTTGGGTTTTTGTTTTGAGTTTGGTTTTTGTGGTGTTGGTTTTTTTCGAAGAAACCACATTATTAACGTGCAGAGCTCTGGGCTTTAGGGATCATTTGGATTCCTGGAGAATTTCAGTTTTGCCTTTCTCCAAGTTAAAGCACATTTTAAATATGTCAGGGATGAAAGCCCATCACAGAAAAAAATGAAATATTGAAAAAGCTCCCATCCCTCGTGTCCGACTTCAAAGCAGGTTTGTGCTTAGGACTGGGTAAGACAGTGAGCAGAAGAATGTTTCTGCAGTCAGAGAAACCCATTGTTTGCTGAGATCTTCCACCTTTTCTCTCCCCATAACTAAGATGCTTCATGGCTGCACACATTGAACTCTGGCTGTGCCTGAATCCTCATATCACTCTCCCTGCAAAGGAAGTGTCTCTGCGTAGGCATTTTCCTTGGGCGTGTTTTATTATTATAAAATTAAGGGGGGGGGAAAAGGCTGCTAGTCACAGATGCTCAGAGTTCTGTTCTGGCCACAGATGTTGAGGTTAAAGGCCAAGCCATTTAAAATACTGATTGATGACATATATTTACAAGCTGAGGTGGTCAATGTGTGAAGAGGCCCAAGGTGCACAGGCCTGGCGTGGGCTGCACTTGCAGGAGTCCCTCATAAGAGCTTCCAAAGGCTTCTATGTGACTGCAGGGACTCAGAATATTAGAACTCAGCACTGAAAAAAAAAGGAAGAAAAACTGTAAAAGAAATGAAATTTTGGAAGTCTTGATAATAATACTGAGACTGGATTAGCAATTGCACTTCTCCCCTTGACTTCTTCCATTGTAGGGGCACCTGGTTTCCTGGAAAGGGGGATCCAGGCAATAAAAACAGCATTTCTCTCCACTCAAACAACTCTTCATTTCTCTTAGGTTTGGCAGTGGGAAGGACTTTGTACACCCCATATCAGCAGATGCCTCCTGCTTCCCTGAACAAGACAGTTCACTCTCTTTTCTGATAAACATCACTGCCAATATTTTCTTCAAAAGCACCATCTTTGGGCTTAACAGCCATGAACATACCATTAAGGAGTCATGGGATCAAAGTGACAGCAGCTCCAAACTTTGAGTGCATTAAGTCTAGAATAGAAACATGTCAAACTGGATTCCAGTAGCAGCATAACTGGCTGATAGCTGATGGATTCACAGGGCCCATGGCCAGAGGAAAGTCTGTCCCTTGAAGGCAGTAAAGTGAATATTCTGTTGGAGTGCCCTTGTTCTGCACTGTGTAAGATAAGTAACTTTGAACTTTAAATAAGTACCACTTTAGTTCTCCATGACCCAACAGAAGTGAGTAATGTGTCCTTGCAGACACTCGCAGAATCCACAGTAAATCCCATCTTCCACTGTGTGTGCCACATGGCCCTGGAAGTGCTCCGGAATGACAGGCAGACACCTCATGCAAGTTCAGTAAGTGAACAGTTGGGTTGATTCTTTGACTGTGCTGGCTCATGTTTTGGCTTCCCCCCTATCCAGGAGCTTCAGGGGTGGATGCAGCCCCCATCCCCAGGGCAGGCTGTGCAGCTCAGCCTCACTCCAAGCCCCAGGAGCACCATGGCTGTGTCTGATGCCGGAGCAGCCTTGCAGCTCCACCATGCCACACCAGCCCCGTGTCCATGGGATGTGCACTGTGCAAAGCAGGATCTGGGTTTAGGCCCATTTCCTCTGGAAGCAAGGCTTACATAATCCTTTCTCTGGCCTCTCTGTCCACATGTGTCAGTCCCCTTCCCCACAGTATTTTTTTAATCCATTGGCCAAGCTCAAACACATTTGACAAACACCTCAAAGATAATTGTGTTCTGACACATTCTGGGAATCCTGGCAGCTGGATACCAGAGAGTGACACCCAAAATTAGTGTTCCCACTGCAGGAGAGGCGGGCAGGGCTCAGCTGGGACACATGCAGGGCTCGGTTGCTGGACATACAGAGTTGTGGGGTGGGTTTTTTACATTGTCTTGCTTCTCTAGAGGGTTATGCTGCTGGTAGATACTCAGCTACTCTGTCTTTCTCATCACCTCAAGCAAAGAACTGAACTATCCTCAGTAGCTGGGACAGTAAGGAACAGACCAAGAGAGACATCTTAAACATTCGTGAACTGTTCAGGGGTGGGATTGAAAGATAAAATGTTGAATATGTTTCTGGCCACCACACTGCTAAAACTACTTTTTGAGGGCTTTTGAGCTTTTTGTGTGAATTACTGACAGCCCAGCAGCACTCTGGGAGACTCGGAGAGCATGAACAGCTCGTTTTAGGTTCAGCAGTTTCCTCCAGGCTGTGCTGCCAATATACCTGAACTGGTGGTGTAGGAAATACAGCTGAAGTGTGAAATGACACTGAACAGTCAAGGTCAAATTGGTATTTGGCTCATCTTCTGAGCCCGATAATGAACGTATGACCAGTGAGGATGTGGGGGAAGTGGAAAGTGTTGCATTATGAAATGGACTGAAGCCACCAGTAGAAAAACAACATTTTCACAATGCAGCATCCCAGCTACTGACTTACTGTTATCAGAAGAAGCTTTGACAAATAAATCCTCACATCACCTGGGAACATCTGACTTCTTAAAGCCCTTCTGTCTGGCGTGCAGTGCAGAAAGCAAGTTGGTTTCACTGGCTGGTTGACAAATGTTCTGTCTAGTGGGAGACAGAGATGATGTGGTTCATTTTTGTTGCTTTAGATCTGTCAGCAGCTGAGGACTCATTGTTTAACAGGGGTTTTTGACTCATCTGAAGTCCCTGACAAAGGTGGCTGGAATCTTGCCTTAGTGGTTCTGCTCTTCAGTCTCACACAGAAACAGATGCTGACATTCAACCGTGGCTTCTCCGCCCCGAGGGTGTCACACATTCTCCACTCTCCAGATTTTCATGTTGCCTTCTGCTTGTTCCATGTCCCTGGGAGGGTTTGGGAGGAGGGCAGTCCAGAGCCCTGTCAGTGACACGGGACACGACCAAGCACGGCTGGCACACGGCTCTGTCATCCTGAACGTGCTGCTCTGCACACACAGAGTGGGAGAGGGCAGATGGTGCCTGACTGGCGTGGTCCAGGAGAGTGGTCAGAGTCCCTAGAAAATGGCACATCCACACCCCTTCAGTGCCTCTGTGAACTAGTAAACCTTCTCATGGTCTCATTAAAAATGTCTCTTCGCTCCTCTCTGCGCTTAATTTATTGGGGTTTCATTTGTATTAATATGTGATATTTTTAAATGGTCTGGGGTGTCCATCAGCATACTAATGGAAAGCCAAATTACAAAGTTTGAAATGAACAAGAACAAATCCCCAGGTCCTGGTTCCCCTTGTGCACACACAGTTCAGTGTCCAATGTGGTGCTGACAAGGTACCACAGCCCACTCTGCTCTCTGTGTGAGCTCCATCGTGCTGCAAACACCTCACCACTGGGGGTTCCCACTCACAACTGTGGGAAAGGCAGGATGAGAGTCCTGCCAAGCCCTGCTGGCTGTCAGGAGGAGTCCTACAGCTCTGCAGTCACAGCAAGGAAAAGGTGGGCTCCTGAAGAGGGTTGGAAAGAGGACACGTGTCAAAATACCACAGCCCAGCTCTGGGTGCTGTTCAGGCACAGCTGCATCTGCTGACAGGACACTCTGCTGAGGGCTTGTGTCTCAGGGACGGCTGGGGGAATGGGGAGGGAGTTGGGGACTCTACAGGATTTACTTGGGTGCTGCCCTGTTAATTTTATTTTGCCATGTGCTGTGTGTTCCCAGGCATGTACAGTGGTTCCAGCAGCAGCCACAACGGCCCCTCCCCAGGTGTGCTGCCGTCCCCTCATGACATCCCTTCAAGGCACCTTCCGCTCGACTCTGCCCTTCCCAGCCCACATCACCAGCAGTCGCCGTTGGACAGTGCCAGGGAAGGGTATGTCAAACACTCCTGGCCTCTGTCTGGCATGATAAAGAATGATTAACTATTTTATTTTGTGTGGATGCTGTTCAGAAGAAAACACTGGTCCAAACTAAGCGATTTTGTTTGGTTTAGAGTCACAGAATAATTTAGTTTTGAAGAGACCTCAGAAGGTCATCTCATCCATCCCCTGTGCAAAGCAAGGCAGACTTAATATCAGGTTGTTCAGGGCCTTGTCCTTGTCTTCAACAGAACACACTGGGATTTTTTTCTCCATAGCATGCAATCACATTTAGATTTTGTTTTTTAATTCTTCCTGGATGAATTCTTGTAGGTTTGGGTAAGCACAGAGAACTTTTCTCAGCTAAAATGAGAAATCTCTCAAAGGGTAAAAACTATGAGTCACTCGGAATCAGGCAGTGTTTGCTTTAGTAAGACTCAGTGTCAGAGCCACAGGCTTTCTCACTTCCTTGCTCTCCGATAAGGTTTTCTGTAATCCATCTCTCAGCAGCAGGCTTGAACCACTGAGATCCTAATCAGGGAAGTGTTTAATCCCATTGATTGTATGGATTGCACTGCTACAGTACAGATTGCATTGCATGGCTACAGTCTGGGATATTTCTAAAGCACCATTTGCTCAAGGATCTCATAACATCTTCTCAACAGTAAAGAATCTCTGTAAGCCACAAAATTCTGCTCTAATCTTTTTACTCAGATTTTTTTTTTTGTGCTTGACCTCATACAAATTAAACATCAAACTTAGCACTTTGGATGGGGAGGGAACTCTGATTTTGCTTTACTGATGGGAACTTGGGATACAGAGAGATTTAAGGGATTCTTTTTCCCTAAGAACATGTTTGGGTTCTTTAGCAAATACAGCAATTGAATGTAGAGTTTTCCCATCCTAGTCCAGTGACTGACCTTTGTCATCTTTTATGTGGGGGAAGGAAAGCCCAGAAGGTTTTTAAGCAAGGGGCAGAAGGCAGAGTGTGTGTGGCATGGAAGGGGCACAGGAAGGAAAATTACACCTGGAGTAGTTGGAGAACAATCTCATTGAGGAAATTCAATTAGGAACCAGTTACTGCTTTTATTTTTCCTAATTGGGAAATGAATACTGCAGCAAGCTGAGCTTCTATACCCTGCTCCTCCTTCAGCCACCTCTTCTGACCTTGGCCAGTGGCAGGTACCAGTGTCCCCTCCCATCATGTGATGCATCTGCCCATCATAGGAACAGACTTATCCTGTCCCTGTCCTATAAAATACCTGTGCCAAACCCTTCTCCTTCCCTGCCCTGCCACATTCCTGACCTTGTATTTCCTGTGTTGGCAGACTTCATGCCCATGGCAGAGCCTCCTGTGGCCAACAGGAGGCATTGGAAGTTACACCAGATAATAGGAAGTTTTCTGTAGCAGAGAAAACAGTGATGCAAATAGGAGGAATGGAGACAGACAGTCCACAGGGAAGGTCATCCATGACCTAGTCATCCATGGAGAATGGGACTGCTTGAGCCTGGGGGGTGGGATCCCTCCCTCTGACTGCTCCCCAGTGTGCTGCTGTTTCCTCTTTGAGTTGGTTCCTAGGGGAGTTAATGCAAAAAATCCCAACCAAGAGTGAAATAAAGTAAGGATATGCTATGGGAAGGATTTAATGGGCTGTCAGGAAGGTGGATTTGTTTCTAAAGCACTTTGTGTTCTGTAACTGCTAATAGGAAAGGAAAGCAAAGACTTGACCAGAGTGAGGGCAGCAGACAGTTCTCCAGATTGAGGGGTCGGAAGCTCCCAGGTGAATTCTCATTCCTGCCTCTCGTGTCTCCATTCCAGAGCACAGCACTTCCCTTTCAGCAGGAACACCACGCCGAGTGAGCTGAGCCTCACTGAGCTCCTGCTGCAGACATTTTGATCATTAGCATAGGCTAAAGTTTACATCAGAATTGTCTCTGCTGATCTCAGTTCTAGTGCAGTTCTTGGAGGAGACAACAGGGCTGATTTATTGTTTCGGTGCTCATAGACCTAAGTAAAGTCTTTGCCCAACACTGTAGTTAATATTCTGTGACAAAATATGGGAATGAGATTGTAACAGGTTTCTAATTGTGAGCCAAACATCAGGGAACGGAGAGTGGAATGTATTTCTGAGCAGTGATTTTAAAACAGGGCATCTGGTTTCATGACATAATTACTTGGAATTTTTCAGGATCTCAAACACCATTTTCTAAACTCAGTCTGCATTCAGTGTTGTCATACCCAGTCCAAGATCCTTGTACTGTATTTAATGGTTTATGCCTACATTATTAATGACTGCTGAAATACAGCCCGTGCATGACATCTTAATTGCAAGTACAGAAACTTGGTGTGAACTAATAGTCCTCGAGTTTCATTTAGCACAGTTTTGTTCAAAGCATTCATCCATTTAACTGGGTAAAATCACTTAATAATCCAGTGCTTGGAGCCACTGGGTTCCAGGACTGTTCCCCCTTTGCTGTTACTCATATAACATACATATGGTTCACAACGGGAAAGAAACACCCAACACTGCCTTTCTCCATGTGAACTGCTCCAGCTTTCTGGCACACACGGAATGTTTGGCCTCATTTGTCAGCTGTCTCAGCGTTCCTGTTCCAGTCAATGCAGAGGATTCCTGCCCTCTGAATCAAACGATGACAAGGCTGGATCGCAGAGTCTGAGGCTCTGGAATGAACCAAGTGATTACTATCAAAAAATCTAATTACTGAGTCATCAAATATGCAAGACGCCAAAAACGACACGAGGCGGAGTACAAATAGTCTGCTCGAGTTTGACATGAGATTCAGAGTTTGATTTAAAGGCTTTTTCATTTTTTTTTTTACAAAAAAGCCCCATGTTAGACCATCCTTTGCCAAAGTCAATACCAAGTGCAGCAGTCAATTTTCCCAGATGGTTTGCTGAGACATTTAAATAGTTTGACGAAATTATCTAATTCACTTGAAAACGTTTTAACAAAATCTGACTTCATTACCAAATGTATTTATTCTGGCTTTATTCAATATGGAGGGCATTTTTTCAAATTCTGGTATGAAGTGTATGCTACACCAAAAAAAATTTACTTACACTGATATTAATTAAGCTGAAAGTGGGTGACTGAGAAATACTTTGGCATGCAGAAAGTGGGCTTGGCATGATTCGGGCTTAAATATATCTTTATTTTTTATTTCAGGTAGCAAAGGTTTATTTCAGTATTTCTTGTAGCATTTACCATGTCTGACTGGGTTTCATTTTGCCCATTGCAGAAATAGTCTATTTTGATTTGTAGCAGAATGAAGACAGAAAAACAGCTTTTAGTATTAAATCTTGGGAGAATGTTGCACTTGGCTTCCTTTCTGCTGTTTTTTTAGCTGTTGTTATCCAAGCCATCTAAAAGTGTACTTAGTTTCGTTTGTAGACTATCCCTGTATATTCCAGTTTAGAATATTCAGTGAGATAAATTATCAGCTTAAGTGAAACTGATATGAGTGAAGTTAAGTGAGTTCGAGTGGTGGCACCAGGTTTGGGATTTGCACCAATTTGGTGTCATGACCCAACAAAGTCACTTTGTAGGCCCCGAACACAGTCTCTGTGTGTGTGACTGGGGCTCTCTGTCACTTGTGCTGCCCCTGACAAGCAGCACTTCTGCTCCCAACAGAACCTGGGCACTGGCAAATAATGACTGTATTGGGGAAGTGATGAGTCTCCAAGGGAAAGGAAAGGGAAACTATTTTTTTATATTCCTGTGGTAAATTAGTTCATTTCTGCTCTGTAAACACAACAGTAAACAAAGAACTAGTGGGATTAAGGCATCTGTGATGTCCGTAGGTGGTGATTAATGAGGACTCTGAACCCAAACTCGTGAGCCTTTAACATAAAGGACTAAGTAAGCCAAGGTTAGAGGAAGGTGCTCACACAACTCTCTGTTGCCTGCGCTTCTCACCAGCCGACTGCAACCAGCCCAGACCACAGGCCAGACCCCCCTGAAGTGACACTGACCCATACAAATAATCACAAGAAACGGGACTCTAGAACTATGAAGTGAAAAGAGACATTTTAATCAGGCAGCTTAAACATCAGAATTTTTGTTTGCTTGCTTCTTAGCACCTGTTATTTCAAATATCACAGAAATATTGAAATGTAAAGAGTTCTCTGTTAAAAATTTAGTCCTTCGTTTCTTCTTACATAAAGTAACACAAGGTACACAGAGCCTTCCTTCTGCCCAACCCAGGAAAACCAGATTTGAAATCCCTGATATCTTTAAGATTGAAACACAAAGGATAAAATCTTGTGTGTTACATGGGGAGATTTTTTTCAATATGCTGTGCTGTCCCCTTGAGCTGCCAGGGTTCAGACCAGGTAGGAAAATACATCTGTGTTCCTAATTCTCATTACTTTAAGCGACAATTAGGTGTCTTAGCTACTTCTGTCTAATTTTTATTAATCTTGTTTATTTATTAATCACGTTAATTAAGTTTGTGAGTTCATATAAATCAATTGACTAGGAACTAGCATGTTGTTAGAGCCTTCGTAAGAAACAAATCTTTGCTCTCTAGAAGTACTTCAGAGAACTAAATACCTACCCAGACTTTGTAACAGAGCAGGGAGATACATCCCTCATTCACTTCATTCCACTGGAGAATACTCTTCATTTATAACAGCATACACAAGTCAGTGTTTTAGTCTTTCTTTCAAAAGCACTAAAACCAATAACAAGAAACAGATATCTCTGACAGCTGAAAACATTTTCAGTGGAGGAAGCCAAGAACCCATCATAATTTATCTCGGTGTTATGGATCTGAGCACGCAAAAGGGGCATCAGTACATCTGTCCAGAGAAGGAACAATGTACAGGTGGGCACTGGGCTCGTGTAACAAAGAACAGCAGTGATTAAAAGCATCTGCTTTCCAATCCCAAGTCATTTATCTCACTGTAGAAAATGTGATCAGAATTCATTTATAATCATGTCCAGACAGGCTTATACAGGTTTCCCCCCTCCCCACCTTAAAGCAAAATTAG